TAAGAATTAGGGTTAATGTTAGGGTTAGGGTTAGGAATTAACTTTAGGTTTAGGGTTAGGAATTACGGTTAGGGTTAAGAATTAGGGTTTGGAATTATGGTTAGGGTTAGGGTTAGGAATTAGGGTTAGGGTTAAGAATTTAGGTTAGGGTTAGGGTTAGGAATTAGGGTTAAGGTTAAGAATTTAGGTTAGGGTTAGGGTTAGGAATTAGGGTTAAGAGTTAAGATTAGGGTTAAGGATTAGGGTTAGGGTTAAGAATTAGGGTTAGGGTTAAGAATTAGGGTTAGGGTTAAGAATTAGGGTTAGGGTTAAGAATTAGGGTTAGGGTTAAGAATTAGGGTTAGGGTTAAGAATTAGGGTTAGGGTTAAGAATTAGGGTTAGGGTTAATAATTAGGGTTAGGGTTAAGAATTAGGGTTTAGAATTAGGGTTCAGGTTAAGAATTAGGTTAGGGTAAGGGTTAGGAATTAGGGTTAAGAGTTAGGGTTAGGGTTAAGGATTAGGGTTAGTGTTAAGAATTAGGGTTAGGGTTAAGAGTTATGGTTAGGGTTAAGAATTAGGGTTAGGTTTAGGGTTAAGAATTAGGGTTAATGTTAGGGTTAGGGTTAGGAATTAACTTTAGGTTTAGGGTTAGGAATTACGGTTAGGGTTAAGAATTAGGGTTAGGGTTTGGAATTTTGGTTAGGGTTAGGGTTAGGAATTAGGGTTAGGGTTAAGAATTAGGGTTAAGGTTAGGAATTAGGGTTAGGATTAGGATTAGAAATTAGGGTTAGGATTAAGAATTAGGGTTAGTGTTAGGGTTCGGAATTAGGCTTAGGTTAGGGTTAAGAATTAGGTTTGAGTTAAGAATTAGGATTAGGGTTATGAATTAGGGTTATGAATTAGGTTAGTTTTATAGTTAGGTTTAGGGCTAGGGTTAGGTTAGGGTAGTTTTAGTGTTAGGGTTAAGGTTTGGCTTAGGGTTATGGTTAGGGTTTTGATTAAGTTGTAAAAAAAAAAAATAAGGCAGAGAGCTTGAGACATGGTACAGAGAGGGTAAGAGACAAAGAGACTGTATACTCTTCTAAAAGAAGGCATTCTTTACAAGTCTAGGCCCGTTCCATAGAAAGAAATATTTATGTTCTTCTTCCTGAGGGTATTCTAAAACTATAAAAAATAAAGACACCAACTCATATGTTGAACATTTTATTGAGAACTTGCCCCAAGGCCACCAGATAAAAGCCCCATTTAAAATATCAAACTAATCCTGATCAATAACTCAAATCTAACCCCAATTTCTAATACAAACCCTAATCCCACCTCCTAATCCTAATCCTAAACCTTACCCTAATCCAATTCTAAACCTAACTCCTAACTCTAACCCTAACCCCTATCCCTAACCCTAACTTCAAACCCTAACCCTAACTCCAAATCCTAACCCTAACTCCTAACCAGAACTGTAACTTTAACTCCTAATCCTAACCATAATTCCTAACCCTAATTCCTAACCCTAACCCTAACTCCTAACCCTAACTCTGAATCTTAACTCCTAACCCTAATTGTAATTCCTAACCCTAACCCTTACACCTAACCCCTAACCCTAATGCCTAACCCTAACCCCACCCCTTTTTCTCTCCAGAGTGCACACTCTTTCTCTCTCTGAAGCACCCCTCAACCTCTGTTTCCTCGCTCAGCTCTCAAGGAGCTTGTATCTCACTTGTGTGCTCTCTCTCCCCTAAGCTCCAAGGGCCCTCCATTGCTATAACTTGTGCCCTGTGTCCATTTCTCCTACTGCTCACTCCTTCTACCCTGTGACTTATAAACTTTTTCTTTTAGTTTGTGTCTTGTCTCTGAATTCTTAGCCAGAACTCAAGAACCAAGGTTGCTGAACCCAGGCAAGCACCTGGTGCTGTTTTTCTGCTAATACCATTTGAATGACAGGTATGTGAAGATACATATAATTGTACTACTTATGGAGTAATTGCTCATATGTAAGGTATAAAGGATGTGAGCCGAGTGTTCGTGTGATGGTTAATTTTATGTGTCAACTTGATTGGGCCATGTTGCTCCAATATTTGGTCCAACATGATTCTGGATGTTGCTGCAAAGGTATTTTTGAATGAGATAAACCCCGACATCCGTGGACTTTGAATAGAGATCATCCCCCGCAATGTGTCAAAGGCCTGAATAGAACAAAGTCCGACCCAACCCGATCGACAGGGATTTCTGCCTGGAGTTGGGCTGCACCTCGTCCCTGGCTCTCAGTATGGTCAGCGTCCCCTAAGGTTTTGGACTTGCACCTCCAGAGTTGTAGAAATCAATGTTTTAAAAGCTCTCTCTTTAAATTATTTTGAGTTTAATCCTCTCTTCTTTTTAGTTTTTTAAAAATGTATATTTTATTGATTTTTAGAGAGAGAAGAAGGAAGAAGAGAGAAAGAAACATGGATGTGATAGTGTAACATCGATTGGCTGCCTCCTGCAGGCCCCCAACCAGGGATGGAGCCAGCAACCTGGGCATGTGCCCTGACTGGGAATCCAACCAGTAATCAGCCTTTCTGTGCAGGGGACGACATCCAACCAGGAGAGACATACCTCACGGGTTTGACCTCAGAGTCGCCCTCAAGACCTGAAGAAATGATTCATTGCCCTTACTTCACATCTGACCAACCTGCTCTCGGCATGATCCTGAATCTCTAACCCACAATGCCCTGTGATTTTTGTCCTATCTAATCTGTAACCTTCATGCAATCACCTCGGGGACCATTAACTCCCAATTCTCCTGGATGGTCCCCTTCATCAGGAAGTATTTCTCCACTGTAATAATCTGTGTTTATTGTTGGGCTCTCCTAGCTCCCGATAGATAAACTTTTTCTCTGTGCTTTAACAAACTTTTCTTCTAATCACTGCTTCGCTTGCATCCCACAGATGTGGATGCTATGTTTTTATTGATCGGTTAAAATGTTTTCTAATTTTCCTTGTGACTATTTGCCCAGAAGTTAATTCATGGTGTACGATCTAGTTTCTAAATGATGCCGTTGTAATTACCTGGTTATTATGTAACAGGAAAGGAGGGCAGGGGAGACTAGATACAGGCATGCCATTTATACAGCTTTGTCTAAAGCCACGTTTAATGCTGTTTGATGGGGGGGGGGGGGGACTGGACAAAGGCAGTGTAGCCACATGCCCAGTAAAGTCTGAGTGATGTGGGAAGGTACTTACCGCAAATCACACCTGGAAACAGGTCATTGGCCACAATAGGCATGGCCACGGCAAGTGTGTGAAACCCGAATATACCAACTTCCAAATAAATGGAGTGCCATTCTGCTCTTGGCCCCAGGGTGCTGGGCTCCTGGGACTCCCAGTCCAGGGGGCAGGGGTCATGTCCCTGTGTCCACCTGGCCACAGCCACGTGGGGGCCCACAATTGATTAGTGGACTGAACCTGGACTGGATGCCGAGTTACCTCAGCTGCACCATGGAGTGGACACTCTGGACATGGCCCTGCCTCTGGCTCTCCTGGAACCCCAGTGGCACCTCTTCCAGGACTGGCTCAAGGGGGACGGGACTTTGGAACCCCAGGAATGTAAAGTCACGCAAATAAATCCTCCTTCCACATCGCCTTCTCCCACTGGAATCTCAGAAAATTCATTTTCTAAAGATGTCACAAGAACCCCACTGCCAGGTGCACAGCAGACATTTAATTCTCTGGTAACACAAATATTTGGGGATTTTTCCAGATATCATTCTATTACTGATTGCTTTTCATTGTGGCCAGAGAAAAGACCTTGTATGATTTTCATTCTCTTAAGTGTGTTCAGGTTGGTTTTATGCTTCTGGAGAACGCTCTGTTTGTACTTGAAGAGCATGTGTATTCCGTTGCCTCTGGAGTATTTTATCATCGTCAGTTAAAACAAGTTCGTTGATAGTGTCACTTAGGTCTTCTATAGACTTACTCATATTTGTTTCTTTCTCTCAGTGCACGAGGGACAAATGCTGAGATCACTGAGTACAAGTGTGCTTTTAGGTTTTATTGTTATTCAGGCATGGTGAGGCCCACAGACCAGGGCATGACGAGCACTGAGGAGCGTTTATACTCCAGGGGCACAGGGAACATGTGGACAAGAGCCCTCACTGCGGTTTCTGTGGGAAGGAACCGAGGAGGAAACGGAGGCAGGGAAACCGGTGCAGAATCTGCTAGTTCGGATGATTTCCGTGGGCCCTTGAGGACAAGGGCTGCCTGGCTGCCTGGTACCTGCCTGAGTGTCAGAGCCCAGCAACGGAGGCTGTGGAGGGTGTGGGCTCTGGATGAGCTAGTTTGCATGTGAAAACTGTGCTCAGACACAAGTCATTCACCATCTCTGGGAACTGACCGGCCCGAGGGACAGTCTCACCAGAGTTCAAGGCCCCAGATGTCAACGCATCCAAAAAACACAGGAAATGAAAAGGCATGATTAATATAGAGTGTGCATCTGCCTAATGCTGCTGTACTCACTTTATTATTATCTCCATCGTGAAGCTCTGGTCGTAGGTGCTTACGTTGGCGGCTGTGGGAGTGGTACCAGGTGTTAGGCCCCAGGGGTCAGACCGGACATGGGTTCAGCGACCTCTGTACTTGAATTCTGATGGGAAAGAATTCAGAGACAAGACTCAAACTGTAAGAGAACATTTATTTAGGAAACCACAGAGGTGGGAGAAGTAATTCGTAGAACAAATGGGCGTAGGCAACAAATTATAGCAGCAAAAGAAGGGCCCTTGGAGCTTAGAAGTGAGGAAAGTAAAGGTGACCTGCCTGGGGGGAAGGGGAGGGAATGGGGGGAGGTGAGGGTCTGCTATAGGGAGGAGAGAATGCTGGGTCCTCTGGCCTAAGGATTTTAAGGGGGGTCTCAGGGGAGGGTCTCCATAGAATATTCAGCAGTTTTCCAGGTATGTCCTTTAAGAGTTGGGGTCTCCACTGATTGATTGGTCGGCACCAGGGCAAGGGGTCATTATCCAATGCAGCTGGTCCTGAGGTCAGCCATGGGGTCGCTGGTCTGGTTTTGCTGCTTTTCTGGGCCTAGAGCTGAAATACAATTGAGGCCTAGATGTTATCTCCAGGGAGGAAAGGGCAGGGGGCTTAAACTGAATGACCAGCAATGTGAAAGGTCAGGGGGTCCATTTACTGACACATCTCCTAGGACAATGGAAACTAAGGAGAAACGAAACAAATGGGATTACATCAAAATAAAAAGCTTCTGCACAGCAAAGGAAACCATCAACAAAACAAGAAAGCCCACTGATGGGAGATATTTGCCACCAATGTGACATCTGATAAGGGTTTAAACTCCAAAATTTATAGGGAACTCATACTACTTAACAAAAGGAAGATAAACAAGCCAATCAAAAAATGGGCAACGGACCTAAATAGATACGTTTCGAAAGAGGACAGAAGGAAGGCCAAGAGACATATGAAAACATGCTCAAAGTCACTAATTATCTGAGAGATACAAATCAAAACAACAATGAGATACCATCTCACATCTGTCAGAATGGCTATCATCAACAAATCAACAAACAGCAAGTGCTGGCGAGGATGTGGAGAAAAAGGAACCCTCGTGCACTGCTGGTGGGAATGCAGACTGGTGCAGCCACTATGGAAGACAGTATGGAGTTTCCTCAAAAAACTAAAAATGGAACTCCCATTTGACCCAGTGATCCCACTTCTAGGAATATATCCCAAGAAAACAGAAACACCAATCAGAAAGGATATATGCACCCCTATGTTCATAGCAGCACAATTTACCATAGCTAAGATTTGGAAACAGCCTAAGTGCCCATCAGCAGATGAGTGGATTAAAAACCAAGGTACAGGGATTTTCAAGATGGTGGCCTAATAGGCAGAAGTGTTGTGCACCTCCTTCTGGGGCCAGGCTGGAAATGCAAATAATTGGAGAACATGCACCCAGAATTCACAAATTAGAAACAGGTGTGGAGACAATTTTCAATAAGAATGAACAGAGGACACCAAGAGAATGCTACTTGCCAGCCATAACCCGTGTGGAACCACCACTGTGCCCTGGCAGTGAGTGGCACAGTACCTCCTGGCAGCTCCCAGACTTCTGCAGTGAGTGCTCACCAGAATGACCTCCCACACCAGGCTCCCTCACCACCCACTAGGACCCACTGTCCCAGGATCTGGCTCCAGGACCCCTCACTGAGTACAAGCCAGGGAACTCCTGGGCCCCACCCCCACCCTGGGCCTCAGAACTGTGCTGCCAGTCTGAACCAGAACCACCTGGTGCTTGTTCCACCGCAGGCCCTGGGACCTGCTTCCAAGGCTACCTCGAGTAACCCAGTGCATTCCCAACTCAAGGCCACAGGAGAGCTCAGACTGTGCAACCCAGAGTAACCCGCACCTGCTCCACCCCAGCTCCTGGGACAGTCCCTCCGGGTCTAACCAGAGCAACCCAGCACACGCCCCACTCTGGGTCACAGAAGAGCGCTGCCAGGCTGACCCAGAGAAATCTGGGGTGCCCAGCCAGGGGCCACAGGACTGTGCTTCAAATGTGCTGCCAGAGGGACCTAGGGTGCCATCCTGCCACAAGTACTGGGGTCACACAGTGAACTGCATGTCAGAGGGCTCTGGGTCTTCACAGGGAGTCACACACCAGAGGAACTGTGCACATGCTCCCGCCACCTCGAGCATCTGAACTGACAACTGAGGGAACAGACCCATGGGAGAAGGGGATACAACTCAGAGCAGAGACAATAAAGGTGTGAGACTCAAGGCAGACCCAGCCTCTGGGCAAATGATTTCTGGACCATTGGCCTGATAGGATCTTTAACCTCTCAAACCCCAAGCAGGATGCTCAGGGCCAGAAAGAGACAGCAAAAATGGGGAGACAAAGACACAACCCCCTAAGAAAAGAAAAGGAGAAATCACCAAAAAAAAAGGAGCTAAATGAAATAGAGGCAAGCAATATGCCAGAGAAAGAATTCAGAGTAATCATCATAAAGTTCCTAAACCAGCTGGATAGGAAAATCAACAACATATGTCAGAATCAAAAGGAAATGAAGAATAATATAGTTGCAATAAAAAACACAAGGGAAGGTTTCAACAGTAGACTAGAAAAAGCAGAGGACTGAATCAGCAAGTTAGAAGACAGGGTTGAAAAAAATACCCAATCTGAAGAGCAATTGGCAAAAAAATTAAAAAGCAGGAGTAGAGTTTAAGGAAGCTTTGGGACAACATGAAATGAAGCAACATCCGCATAATAGGGGTGCCTAAAGGTCAAGAAGAGGAGCAAGGAATAGAAAACCTATTTGAAGAAATAATGACAGAAAACTTCCCTGACTTGGGGAAGAAAAAAGTCACCCAAGCACAGAGAGTCCCAAACAAGATGAACCCACACTGAGACACATTGTACTTACAATGGCAAACGTTAATGACAAAGAAAGAATCTTAAGGGCTTCAAGAGAGAGAAAGTTACCTACAAGGGATCTCCCATTAGACTATCAAATGATTTCTCAACAGAAACACATCAGGCAAGAAGGGAATGGAATGAAATACACAAAGTGATGCAAAAGAAGGGACTGATTTCAATACTCTATCCAGCAAGGCTATCAATCAAAATTGAAGGAGAAATCAGGAGCTTCACAGACAAAAAAAAAAGGCTAAGGGAGTTTATTACCACCAAGCCAACAATGCAAGAAATGCTAAAGGGACTGTTGTAAAAAGAAGAAATAGAAAGGGAAGAAGGAACACAGGCATAAATAATAAAAATGGCAACAAACAAGTACCTATCAATAGTAACCTTAAAAGTAAATGGATTAAATGCTCCAATCAAAAGACGTAGGGTGGCTGAGTGGATAATAAAACATGACGCATATATATGCTGTCTACAAGAGCCCCACCTCAGAACAAAGGACTCACACAGACTGAAATTGAAAGGAAAGAAAAAATTTTTTTCAGGCAAATGGAAATGAAAAAAAAAAAAAAAGCTGAAGTAGCAATACTTACATCTGACAAAATAGACCTCAAACTGAAGTCCCTAATAAGAGATAAGGAAAGCCACTTCATAATACTAAAGGGATTGATACAACAAAAGGATATAACTTTGGAAAACATATATGCACCCAATACAGGAGCATCCAAATACATAAAAAAAAGTCTGAAACATATCAAGGGAGAGATCAACAGCAATACAATCATAGTAGGGGACTTTAATACCCCATTGGCATCACTGAGTGAATCTTCAAGACAAAAATTCAACAATGAAATAGCAACCTTAACCACTCACTAGATCAGATGGAACTAATTGACATGTTCAGAACATTTAACCGCAAAGCAATGGAATATAGTACATTCTTCTTAAGTGCACATGGCACATTTTCAAAGATAAATCACATACTGGGGCATGGGCTAAGTCTCTTCAAATTCAAGAATATAGAAATCATATTAAGCATCTCCTCAGATCACAATGGCATAAAATTAGAAATCAACTACAATAAAAAAATCAAGCACTTGGAGGCTACATAGCATGCAATTAAACAATGACTACGTTACCAAAGAGATCAAGGAAGAAATAAAAAGGATCATGGAAACAAATGACAGTGAAACCACAACAATCCAAAATCTATGGGACACAGTGAAAGCAGTCCTAAGAGGGAAGTTCATAGCTCTACAGGCCTACCTCAAAAAACAAGAAAAAATGGTAATAAATTATCTAACCCTACATCTCAAAGAGTTAGAAAGAGAGCAACAAGAAAAGGCCAGTGTAAAAAGAAGGAAGGAAATAATAAAGATCAGAGCATAAATAAAGGACATAGAGACCAAAAATAACAATACAAAAGAGCAATAAAACCAAGAGCTGATTCTTTGAAAGGATAAGATTGATGAATCTCTAGCTAGGCTCACCAAGAAACAAAGAGAGAGGACAGAAGTAATAAAAAAAAAAAAAAACAGAAATGAAAGAGGGGAAGTAACAATAGATCCCACAGAAATACAAAGGATTATAAAAAAAATACTACAACTCTACTCCAACAATCTGGACAATGGACATGTTCCTAGAAAAATACAAGCTTCCAAAACTCAATCAGGAAGAATAAAAAACCTGAATAGGCTGATAACTACTGATGAAATTGAAACAGTAATCAAAAAACTTCCAGCAAGCAAAAGCCCTGGACCAGACGGCTTCACAGGGGAGTTTTACCAAACATTCATAGAAGAAACCTATACTTCTCAGACTTCTCCAAAAAATTCAAGAGGACGGCACACTTCCAAGCTCTTTCTATGAAACAAGCATTACCCTAATCCCAAAACCAGATAAAGACACTACAAAGAAAGAGAATTACAGGCCAATATCCCTGATGAACATAGATGCTAAAATCCTCAACAGAATTCTAGCAAATCGCATCCACCATTACATTAGAAATAATTTTCTAAAGACATCACATACACTATGACCAAGTGGGATTTATTCCAGGGATGCAAGGCTGATACAATATCTGCAAATCAATAGATGTGATACATCACATAAACAAATTGAGAGACAAAAATTACATAATCATATCAACTGATGCAGAAAGAGCATTTGACAAAATCCAACACCCTTTCCTGATAGAAACTCTCAGCAAAGTGGGAATAGAAGGATCATACCTCAACATAATAAAAGCCTAATATGACAAACCTACAGCCAACATCATACTCAATGGGCAAAAACTAAA